TTACTTATGAATTTTTCCCTTTAATATATTACCTGATTTTTAAATAATGAAACTTGGTCCTTAATTTTTGAATTTCAATCTTCAAACACCTGAATTATGTAATTTCCTCTAAAAGCTAGGTTCGTGGGCCGATTCCGACATATCAAAAGAAATGTTTTGACTAGGCCCGGCTGAACTTTTAGATGGATCCGGCCCAATCCGCCCAACAACGTGGAACTGTGATGGTGAAAAATGAAAATAGCATTCTTCACTGTAAACGTAATTGAAGATGGTGAAAGTCATCTATGTCCAGGAAAACCTGCAGCAGGTCCGGGAAATAGCTTAATTGCGTTTACAAGAATCAATTAATGTTACCAATGGAAGCATTTCCATGTTCTGTGTAATTCAATTTCTACTATTTTAGTTCCTGCTTTTGTACTTTCGATTATTTTAATGTTGATTTTATTGTTTCTTTAATAGCGTGTTGCGTGTATGATTGAATATTGAGTGGTTTGCGTGTTTAATTAATCAATGCACACATGTGCATATTTTAATACGCCGTGTCCATTATTCAATAGAATTCAGAATTCTGGTTTATGCGGCTCAGTCATATATACATTATACATAGATCAGATGGGCCAACTTCTAGGGCTAGAAAGTATGTGGGATTGCTTCGTCTGTCTCTGCTTAAACACTGAGTAATTAAGTGAGGAAATATTGTTTCAGCTAGGGATTTAGTTGTCAGATTATAACCATTGATGCATTACAGATGGTTCTTTCTCTTACATTCGATAAGTTGAGACTTTGATCCCACATTGTATGCTCATGCATAATATAACAACAGGGGATTGATTATTGGATTGTACCATATTGAATATTTTAAATGAGAAACCTGGTCTTTGGTTCCCTGTAATTGTTTCAAGAACTAGTATTCTGGTGTAGGATACTTAACCTTGATTTTATTATGTAAAGAAAACAGAAGATAGAGAAATCTAAATAGCATATCAACATTTGAGTCAAGGCAGTCTGGAAAATTCCGTGGCCTTCCAGTTTGAGTTGAAAGGCTACAGCGTCCCTAACCTATGGCGCTATCTTGTTCCACATGATATAAATGCTAATGTAACCTTCTCAGCACCTTTTCTAGACATTTGCGCCTTGGAGTTAGACTAATGTGTCAAATTTTTTTAAGTCCAAATCCTATTAAATGCAGTGACCATATTAATTTTTTCCTGAGATGCATAAAGTAATACTGTAACTCGTGCAATATTATTTCAACATGTTTACTTGGTACATAATTCTTTTCACATCTTTTTTGGCTCTTAAAAAATTTCTATTCCTCGAAGATTTGAATTGTAGAATTTAAAAGGAATATGCCTCATTTGTGAAGGCTTCACCTTAGAAAAGGTGCCAAGTCTCATGCTTTCTTCTTTCAACTCAATGAATAATAGTAAATTGTGTGGAAAAGCTGTAGTTAATAAGAAATAATTAGTTCAATTGTCCAGAACTTCTGGATTATCATGGCTAATGTCAAACTTTTACTAGTCATTGTTCATTGGAGGTCTTATCCAGCATCAGAATTAATTAACAAACAGTCTGTCTTCCCTTTGGTTCACACTTCCTTGACAAATTTGGTTTGTTTGAGCCCAGTTTTTGGGAAAATAGATTTTGTAATAGTGATTATTTTTTTGGAGAATGTGTGGTTAAAAAGTAGGAAATGTTTTAGGTTTATGTGTAAAATTATTTTATTGAGAGAATGTTTGATTGAAAACGAGCTCAGGGAAAAATGAGCTTTTAAAGGATGGGGCTCAAACGTGGGCTAAAGTGCATCAGGTTTCTTTATATATTAATCTTCTAGAACCAGTTTGGTGTTCCCTTGACATGATTGAAATTTAAGTTCCTTGAGCGAATGATTGCTTAATTCAATCAAGAGACTAAAGATGCTGGTTTGACCAAGCTGTTTGTGTGAAGGTACACTGGAATTTAAATATGTTCTATTTCAATGATGGCACCATTTGAAATATGGATGAGTTGAATGAAAAAGGCGAAACGGTAGAAGATCACAACTGACTGAAAGAAACGAAAAAAATAAATTTTCCCTTACACATCTTTTTACCCCTTTTTCTCCTTTGGGGGAGGAGGAGGGGGTATGTTGAGAATTGATACATTTATTTATTTAAATTTATTCTTCAACACACTCCCTCGTGTTCAAGCCATATTCATTTTTTTTAATGAAAGACCTAATATGACATTATTCTTTATAAATGAGTGGACATCTTCTTAGTTTCATATATGATTGAACTACCGCATCTAAAATTTAAGCGTTAGCGATGAGACAAATGTATTTATTTAAATTTAGTCTTCCACATGGGGTGGGTTTGGAGGAGATGATGACTCATGGGCCATATATGGTCAGATGATAAGATACAAAAATTTGGAAATGGAAAATGAAGAAAAAACCAAATTGAAGCGGACTTAATACATAAATCATCCTCTGTTCCGTTTTCCCATTCATCCAAAAACATGTATACATACAAACAAATAAAAAGAAGAACGTGAGGCAAGTATAAACATCTGAAATTTTGTAAAGGTAGTGATGGTTGGAAGTGAATTGAAAAGGAAGCATATGACCCAAGTGAGATTATGCATTTTGTATTAAACAAACAATATATACTAAAGACAAAAGCTTATTACATCCTTTGGATCAGCTGGAAACAATGTCAGTTAAAAGCTTTCGTACTGAATTCTATCCTTATCAGTGGTATGTTGGTTTGATACTTTTTGGTTCTTCTTCTTAATCATCATAATTGAAACGTGTTGTCATTGTCATTAGTAACTATTCCTGATTGTCCAGCATAAAGCTTGTAATTCAGAATCATTGTTGCTTTAACTAGAACTATACAGAATCATCATCCTGTGAAGAAATTGCAGTAAACTGCTGAAATGAATAAGTATATCAATTGAATAAGATGGCTTATTGCTTCTTCTGTGTTTTTTTTCCTCTGTTTTTTTTGGTGGTTGGCATGCCTTTGCTTTAAAGCAAGCAACTCTACAGGATATGAACTTATAGAAAGGAACATAATACATAATAGTTAAAAATGTCTTACACATAGTATAGTGTTCCGATTATGTTTGGATTAAACTAAAAACTCTTCGAAATTCATTCTCAGAAGAGTACAAACTGTAAACTTCAAGAACAAAGTATGTGCTAGTATTCTGCATATCACTGAATCACCCCATGCTTTCTGTAACTTCAAGGTGAACTATGAAATTCTTTCTATAGCACATCAAAAAAAAAGCCGGGGGGGGGGGGGGGGGGGGGGGGGGGGGGGGGGGGGGGGGGGGGGGGG